ACTCAATATTAACGTGGGAAAATCTTAAAATCTGATTCTATTGTTAAAGTTTCAAAACAGACTGTTCTCTTTATAGGTATGTAAATAACTGTATTTATTAGTTATTTGTTGATTTACTTATTTGTAGAGATGGGATCTCACTCTATTGCCCAGGCTGGTTAAATCACCATAGGAAAAAGAACTTTGTATAATAGTAAAAGTTCATACTTTATTTTTCATATTTTTGGTAAAAATAAAAAATAGAATAAAAAACATTTAAATGTAAAGCACCCATCTGATTTTATTTAGAAGCTAGAGTTCGGCAAATACCGGTTCATTGCTTCTTTTCACATGGGAAACGAGATATACACATCAGTAAATTTGGTCTGTCTTTATCACCCTGCACCAGGTTGTAAATCTGAACAGTTTTCAGACTTTATAAAGTGCCACTCCTCCATAATGTCTTCACTCAGAGACATTCCATTGGTTTGATACAATTATACTATTAGAGTTAATATCTGATTCATAAACTACCATGGTCTCATTTTCCCAAACTACATTATGTAAATAAATCATTTCATCTTATCCTTTGCTATATTTAAAATCAGTGTGTCCTGGTGACCTCGCAATACTGTCATTAAAAGGCAGATTTGTAATATGATCAAGTTTATGAAGAATAAATCCATAACTATTTGTCACCTAAGTCAAAAAGTCAGAAAACTGACAAATTATCTTCATGTTTTAAAAAATTAGATTGATTTATCTTTATGGCTCTGCATGGAACAGAATAAAGCAAAATATAGACAGTGCTGTTTCATTCGCACAAAGATTGACTTACATTCAGAATGCAAAAATATGCCAGAAGATGCCAAGCTATGAATAATTCAAATATATAACTTGACATAGTCCAGAGACAATTTTTAAATGCATAAGGAAAAGTACATAATTGATTATGTAGTATGATTATTAAAGTTACCATGGCTATGTAACAAATCTCCCCTAAACACAATAATATTATATAGGCATTTCTTAACCTCATAGATTCTGAGAATAAGGCATAAAGGTAGGACCCAGTGTGTATGGCCTAACTCTGATGTCTTAGGTCTAAGGCCTCACCTGGTGGGGTCGAAGTGAGAGTCCATACTCATCTCTAGGTTTGCTTACTCACTTGTCTGGCAGTCAATGCTGCTTGTTGAAATCTGTCCACAAGTGTTTCCTTGCAGTATAGTGTCTGAATTCCAAGCTTCTCAAGAAAGAGGCAGCCCACCAACACTCTTTATCTTTTTTATGACCTGGCCTTGAAAGCCACAAGCCCACCCAGATTTAATGAAAGTAAATTTCTCAGGCTTGGTTATTGATAACAAGAAACTTGGATCTTGCTAGCAATGTGCCGAAAGAACTTGTGGGATTGGAAATATTTCTGTGGCCATTCATGGAAAACCCAACAAGTAGCACACGCCCTTATTATGATACAGAACATTCCCATCACCCAGAAAGTTCCCTCATCCCTCTCCCAGCCATTTGCAACCTACCGGCTCTCCCAGCAGATGACTGTTCAGATTTATTGCATCATGATTCATTTTGCTTCATCTAAAGCTGTATATAAATATAACAATATAGTTTGTAGTCTTTTACATCAGCTTCTTTTTCTTAGCATGATATCTTCCAGACTTGTTTGGATTATTGGATATATCACTATTTCTTCTCTTATTATTGCTGTGTAATATTCCATTAGATAAAGCAATTTTATTCTCCTGTTAATTTCCATTCTCCTGTTAATACACATATGGGATATTTTCAGTTCAGGGCTACTATGTGTAATTATATTATCAGTATTCTTTATGATGTCCTTTCATATATTTTCATTTCCCTAGGATTAATATCTACAAGAGGAATGTGCTGGGTCACAGAGTAGGTATATTCTTATCTCTACGAAAAACTGAAAAATGATTTTCCTTAGTAGTTGTGACATTTTACACAACCACTAGCAATGTGTCCTTGCCCACATTTGGTATTGTCAGTCTTCTTTTGTTTCATTTTAATTTCAGTCATTCTAGTGGATGTGTAGTAGTAACTTATTGTGGTTCTAATTTGAATTTCCTTAATTCCTAATGCTGCTGAGGACTTTTTCGTGTGCTTATTAAATATTATTTCTTTTGTGAAATAACTGTTCCAATCTATTCTCATGTTTTGTTGTTCACCTGTCCAATGAGTTATCAAAGTTTTAAAAAACTATTCTGTTCATGAAAGATTATGGTCAGATACATGTTTTGAGAATATCTTATTCTTCTATTTAATAACTTTATTTTTCTTAATGATTTATTCTGAGGAGCAGAAGTCTGGAACGTTATGTAGTTTAATTTCTAATTTTTTTGTTCTTTTGTTGACTACTTCTTTCTGTGCACTTCACAATATTTGCCAACATTATAGTCACAAAAATATTATTTTATATTTTCTTCTGGAGGATTTGTAACTTCAGTTTTTATATTTTGGTCTATAATCTAGGTTGAGTGAATTATGCTTGTAGTAGAGGTAAAGTTTTAGCTCATTTTCCCCCAAATGTTAATCTAGTTATTCTAGCACCATTTGTTGAAAGAACTTTCATTATAGAACTGCCTTGATAGCTTTGCTGAAAATCAATTAACCTATATTTGTAAGTCTACTTATGGACTACATGTTCTGTTCCATTTGAATTATTGATCATCCTTACCCCAATACCACACTGCCTTGATTAGTATAGCTTTATAGTAAATCTTAATGTATTTTATATCTTTCAAAGTTGTTTTAATTTTTAAGACTCTATTAGCTATTCTAAGTCCCTTGTTTTCTGTATAAATTTGAAAATCAGCTCATCAATTTTTATAAAAGAAATTCTAGGATCTCGATTGGTACTGAATCAGTGAATATATAAATTTGGGGAGAATTTAATTTTCTGATTCATGAACATGGTATATTTATTTAGTATTTTTTAATTTTCTCTCATCAGGTTTTATATTTATTTTAGAGGTCTTGCTCTGCTCTTGTTAGATGTATTTCTAAGTATTTTATGCTTTCTAAGAGTATTAGAAATGGCATTTAAGAAATGTAATTATAGGCCGGGTGCGGTGGCTCAAACCTGTAATCCCAGCACTTTGGGAGGCCAAGACGGGTGGATCACGAGGTGAGGAGATCGAGACCATCCTGGCTAACACGGTGAAACCCTGTCTCTACCAAAAAATACAAAAAAAAAAAAAAAAAAAAACTAGCCGGGCGAGGTGGCGGGCGCCTGTAGTCCCAGCTACTGGGGAGGCTGAGGCAGGAGAATGGCGTGAACCCGGGAGGCGGAGATTGCAGTGAGCTGAGATCCGGCCACTGCACTCCAGCCTGAGCGACAGAGTGAGACTCCGTCTCAAAAAAAATAAAATAAAATAAAGAAATGTAATTATAGGGCCGGGCGCGGTGGCCCAAGCCTGTAATCCCAGCACTTTGGGAGGCCAAGACGGGTGGATCATGAGGTCAGGAGATCGAGACCATCCTGGCTAACATGGTGAAACCCCGTCTCTACTAAAAAATACAAAAAAACTAGCCGGGAGAGGTGACGGGTGCCTGTAATCCCAGCTACTGGGGAGGCTGAGGCAGGAGAACGGCGTGAATCTGGGAGGCGGAGCTTGCAGTGAGCTGAGATCCGGCCACTGCTCTCCAGCCTGGGCTACAGAGCGAGACTCCATTTCAAAAAAATAAAATAAAAAAGAAATGTAATTATAGGATTCTATTTTTTTTTTTTTTTTTTTTTTTAGGTGGAGTCTCAATCTGTCGCCCAGGCTGGAGTGCACTGGTCTGGCGCTATCTCGGCTCACTACAAGCTCCGCCTCCCAGGTTCACACCATTCTCCTGCCTCAGCCTCCTGAGTAGCTGGGACTACAGGCGCCCGCCACCATGCCGGGCTACTTTTTTTTTGGATTTTTAGTAGAGACGGGGTTTCACAGTGTTAGCCAGGATGGTCTCGATCTCCTGACCTCCTGATCCGCCCACCTTAGCCTCCCAAAGTGTTGGAATTACAGGCGTGAGCCACCGCGCCCGGTCTATAGGATTCTAGTTTTAAAAATACAATTGATTTGTGTTTGTCAACACGTTATCTTGCCATTGGCTACATTTACTTATTAATTTAGTAATTGCTTTGTAGATTCCTTACAATTTTCTATGTAAGCAATCAGATCTCTTGAGAATAGCGAGAACTTTGCTTCTTCCCTTCCAATCTGCATTATTTGATTTTGTTCTTTGCTTTATTGCACTGACCAGGACCTCCATTTCAATACTCAGTGCCTATTCCCAGTCTTAGTGGGAAAATGTTCAGACTTGCTCATTTAGTTTGATGTTAGTTATAGATGTTTCCTTTAGCTGACAGTATTGAAGAAATTTCCTTCTATTCCTAGTTTTCTAATTTAAAAAATTAATTTTTTTTGTTAAATGTTTTTTCTGCATCTGTTGAAATTATTTTCTTCTTTTATCTGTTAATAATGTGAATTATATTGATTGATTTTAAAGTGCTAAACCAAATTTGCAATTCTTGCATATACTCCATAAGATCATGGTGCTTCTGTAGATCATGGAGCTTCTATTTTTATATACTTTTGGATTTAATTTGCTAACATTTTTTAAAGGACTTTTGCTTCTATGTTTATAAGAGGTATTTTTTTTTCTTTTTTTCTTGTAGCAGCTTTGTCAGGTTTTGATGTCAAGGTTGTCGTGGTAAATTATATGTGAGCATCTCTACCAAAATCCCTATCCTGTACATAAATGTCACCACCACAGCCACCAAGAGGTTCAGTCTCTTTCCCTTCCTCTTCAGTCTGGGTTAGTCTTGTCACTTGCTGTGACCAGCAGAATGTGGTAACACTTGGCAATTCTCTGCCTACACGTTACAGGACTGACAGCTTCCACTTTAGGTCTGGTAGGATCCAATGTGAGCAACTCAATGATAAGGGAACACATGAAGAGAGAAATAGCACAGTCTTCTAATGATCTCTCCTAGTACCCCAGGCATGTGGGAAGACTAAAGTCCTCCAGCCCTGCCCATCTAATATCTGAATACAGCAATATGAGTGACACCAGCTGACACAGCAAGGAGCAATGTATCACACAGGTGAGACCAGCCAACCACATAGAACCCTAGAAATAATAAATTTTTGTGTTTTAAAGCACTGATTTATTAAACAGCAGCAGAAAAGTGGTATAATTATGCTAGCCTCATAAAACAAAATGGGAAGTGATTCTATAACCCCTCCTTTTTTTTTTTTCTAAAAGAGATTGTATAAATGCAACCATATGGGCTTGGAGCGTTCTGTATGGGAGGATTTTTTATAATAATAAATTTAATTCTTTATTAAATATAGGGTTATTTGGATTCCTAATTCATCTTATTAATTTTTATGAGTTGTTTTATGTGTCTTTTTCTATTTCATTTATATTTTTGCAATTATTAGCAAGAAATTTATCTTAGTATTACCTTTTTTATTTTTAATATATGAAAAATTTTCAGGAATAGTCTCACTTTCATTCTGATTGGTAGTTTGTGAGGATTTTTGCTTCAATAATTTTTTTGTAATTTGTTTTTTGTTTTAATTAATTATTGTTTCTTTCCTTATTACATCCTTGCATCAACTATTTTGGTTAAGTTTGCTCTTCTAGCTACTTAAGGAAAACATTTAGACGATTTATTTTTTTTCTTTTTTAATATAGGAATATAAAGGTATAATTTTCTTTATAAATATCACTTTCCTTAAGCATGTCCTTCAGCAGCTTCCCAAGAAAGGATAAGAAATATACATTCTTGGTTTAAGTCTTTGCATGCTGAAAATACGTGTTTAATCTCTCCTCATCTCTGATTAACTTTTTTCTGAAAAAAGAGTTGTAGATTGAAACTATTTTTTTTCTCAGAATTTTGCAGTCATTAGTTCTTTGTTTTCTAGCTTTTGCAGTTACCGGAAAAAAAGTTGAATACTATTTTGATTCTCTTTCTTTTGTGTATGAATTATTTTTTCCCAAAATATTGTCTAGGATTTTTCTCTTACAATAAGGCTCCTTGCTGTAGGCATTTTTACATTTGCAGTGCCGGTACCTGGTGCTTTTCAGTCAGGAGGAAATGGATGGCATTCGATTCTGGGAATTGTTTTTAGTCATTCATTGATCATTTCTTTCTGTTTTTTCCCTGTTTCCTCTTTCTGAAATGTCTATTAATTGAATTCTGGACCTCCTTGTCAATTTCTAACTTTACTTATTCTAAACTGTTTACTATCTTTTTATTTGCTCTTATTCACTGGGGGGTATTATCAACTTTATCTTTTAATCTTACTCTTTAAAATTCTTGTTTCTGAAATATTATTAATGTTTCTTTTTCTTGTGTTTTAAGGACATCTTTTTTAGAATATTTTCAAATTTTTTTCTTTTTTGTTGTCATATTCAAAGACATACAAATGGTCAACAAGTATATGAAAAGGTGCACATCACTAATCATCAGGAAAATGTAAAGCAAAATGACAATATCACCTCACACCTGTTAGGATGGCTACTTAAAAAAAAATGTGCTGTTGAGAATGTGCAGAAACTAGAACCCTGTATATTCTTAATGGGAATGTAAAATGGAGCAACCACTATGAAAAACAGTATAGCAGTTCTTCAAAAAAATTAAAATAGAATTACTCTATGGTACAGCAATAGTTTGCTTTCTGCTCCCTCAGTAACCTGTTTCCTTCCTTCGTTTCTTCTTTCTGTTCTTCCTTTCCTTCTTACTTCCTCCCCTCCCCTTCCTTCTTCTTCCTTCCTTCTTTCTTTTCTTCCTTCCTTCCTTCCTTCCTTCCTTCCTTCCTTCCTTCCTTCCTTCCTTCCTTCCATTTCTTAATTTATTTCAGTTTTACAACTTACGTGTCTGGTGATCGGTGTGGTCATCTCATATCTTAGAAGGGGAAAGTAAGAGCATGTTAGAAGTCCCATGTATGAGAACAGGAGTTATTGGATGGGGATTTCTTTAGGGCAAGCAAGCCTTTTTATAGGGCAAAAAAGCTCTGGTCTTTTCCTAGAGGGCACCCCAAATATCTATGTTGAGGTTTTACATATTTGTTGTTTTCTTGTTTAACCAATTTCTCCAGAGTAGTAGAATTCCCCAGGTTTCTGTCTGTGGAGGTAAGAATTGTAAGTCTTGGTGACAAAAGGAAGTTCCTCTTACTCTCTTCTATTTTTAGCCCCACACAGAATCTCTACCTTCCCTTGTATCTCACATCACCAAGGCTGGAGCCTCTTTAGCTTGGCTCCTGCAGAAAAGAAGACTGTGGTCTGTGACAGATGTCAGGGTCAGGGCCAGGGCCAATCCCTGCCTCGGCAGGGTGGGAAAAACCGCCTACTTGAAGACAGATTTCAATCCCTGTTTTGTTTACAGCTGCCTCCTCTGGGGCCATTGCCTTTGAATGATGACCCTTTATAGGTTCTGTGGAGCAAATTGACACAACTTCATTGGTATTGTGAACTCCACAACCTCTCATGTGATAATTTGTATAATTTCTCCTGCTTTGCTAAGTCACACATCACTCCCAAACTCTGTCTTTCCAAAATTATCATGAATGTTTTGCCTGCTACAATCTTCCCATTACCTTTATGGGTTAGTATGCTCTTTGGAAAAATTCCTTTACTGTTATTTTTATTTGGGTTTTAGGAGAAAGAGGAGATAAACACATATCAATGAGTATTCCATGTTTAACTCATACTCTTTGTTTGAACTTGAACTGATTTAATATCTAGCAATATTATTACATTAATTTAGTTACCTCTCCAGAGAGCACAATGAAGTACTTAGTTCAGGTATTTTGGTGTTGCAGTTAATGAAGATGAATTCCAAATAATAAATGTGTATTTATAAATTGATTACCTATGTTCATCAGTGTAAAGCATAACATATTTCTTTACATAAATTCAGAGTATAATAATGTGTTTCTCTTTTTATTACTTATTAATTATGGATTTCAAATATTATCTCAGCCACCTAGATGTGAGATGGAAAAATAGGTGATAGACTAGATGGATAGATAGGCAGATAGATAGATGATAGATAGACAGATAGATAGATAAATAGATGATAGATAATGTGTGTATTCCCACTGCTGCTGAGATTTTTAAAATGCAACAGTGCTATTCTTAAAGAAAATGAATAAAATTGCAGATAGGTGAAGAAATTCTTGTCACTGCTGTCATTCTCTTGTTGGTAGATGATAAAGATAGCCTCGAAATTAAGTTGTTAGGAAACTCACTCCTCTCTACCAGTTGAGCTGAAAATGGAAGGGTGTCATAAACTAGAAACAGTAAATGGAGGCGTAGACGGACTTGGAACTATGAGATTCCTTCAGTGGATTGTGCAGCAGTTTCATTCCAAACCTAAAACATAAAGGACACTGGATACATAATTATGTTTGCATTTGGCTCCTTTCTACTTGTGTTATTTTTCTTGGCTTAAGACTGTTTAAGTGTTAGAATGTCTTCAGTCTTTTATTTACTTATGATGTTCAGAACCGGCAGACTTTGTGGATTTAGGACTGTAGAACAAACCCTAGATTAACTGAGCTTTTGAATGTCCTTTTGTTAGAATATAAAGGATTCTATTTGGCCCATCAAAACAGATATTAGGTACATTCTTTGCACTAAAGCACACCCACATCTTTCAGTAAGGAGGCACAATTTGGAATCAAATTGATGATCCTCTTGTTGCAAAAGCAATATTTACTCCAAGACAAGATATTTTGATGTTAGTAATATTTAAAGCAGGTTTCAAAGAAATCCATTAAAGTATAGGATAAAAAGATTCAGAGATAGATAAACTTCGAAGATACATTTCTATAATAACTGGACATTCAATTCAGGACTATATAAACATCAACTCAGATAACTGAGTTATCTACAAGCCACAGTGAATAGAGAACATGGAGCTACTCTCTAAGACCATTGTCTTAGAACTTGTGGCAAGATATAACCCAAAATTCATTTTTTAAATTGGCATATAGTTTTTTAGTTCATTTAAATGGACCACTTAAGTTTGGTTTTAGTATTGAAACATATTATCATAGAGGCTATCCTGAAGCGTTCTTTTTCTCTCAGATCAGTTCAGAATCTCATGAGGCTATTTTCCAAATAAATACTCCACCAGTGCGTACAGTTCAAGTGACCCTGCACAGCAAAATAGCAAATTTTCTCTATGGCTATGGGAGAAATTGATCTTTAAAGTCTTTATAATCTGGGAGCTATGCTCATGGAGTTAATGGAGAAGATATTCTTTTCTGAAAATTTTTCCTTAAGCGTTCACAAAGTTCAGGCTTACATGACATTTTTTGTTTGCTACTGTGGGGTTTTTTTAAAAAATCAAAACAACAAATGCAAGTAAAAATAAAGAAAACTATAAAAACTTTGATCCAGCGTTTGTTTCACACCAAAATATGTTGCATGATATACTCTACTATATATTAATCAAATCACTGTGGGAAAATATAAGGGGTACATAAGAAAGTTTATAAAATGGAAAAATAATTTTTAAAACAATATAAATGTGAAAGTCATTAAAATAATATCTGATTTTCATCTTTTGGGAATTACTCAAAATTCATTAAAATATTATTTTATGTTAATTTTTTTTTCCAGAAACCTAGTGATGGATATTTAAGAACTTTGTACTATTATTCTGTATTCTATCCAGCAAATGTAGAAGATTTCCTGGGAGAACTAACTGTCCACAAGGTTCACTCTGTTCTCCAAAGTGTCCTGTCCTAACTCTGAAACACACTGTTCTATCAAGATTCTCTCTGGCTATTTTCACCCATGATTAGACAACCCCAAAGAGTTAAAATTCATGGCATTTTTATATATAACTTTTCAAATATTGAAAGCATTTCCGAATGAGTACCGGGTGGCTTCCAGTTTGTGAACTACCGAATAACAGTCATAAACTGTCCGCTTGTAGCCAAAGTTCCTTTCTTTCTTTTTTCTTTTTTGTATTATACTTTAAGTTCTAGGGTACATGTGCACAAAATGCAGGTTTGTTACATATGTATTTTGGACACAGGAAGGAAAACATCACATGCCAAAGTTCCTTTCAATTGAATACAATTC